TTTTTTTTTTTTTTTTTGCAGTTTTTGGCTGGGGCTGGGTTTAAACCCACCACCTCCAGTATATGTGGCTGGTACCCTACTCCTGTGAGCCACAGGTGCCACCCTAAATAGAGCATCTTTTCCCCACTGAATATTTCTAATTGGCTTATCAAAGATCAAATAATGGTAAGTAGCTGAGTTCATCTCTTGGTTCTCTATTCTGTTCCATGCATCTCTCGCTCTGTTTTTGTGCCAGTACCATGTAGTTTTGATCACTATCGATTTATAGTATAGTCGGAGGTCTGGTAGTATGATTCCTCCTGCTTTGTTTTTATTTCTAAGTAATGTCTTGGCTATTTGAGGTTTTTTTCTGATTCCATATAAAATGAAGTACTATTTTTTCAATATCTTTATAAAGTATGACAGTGGAGATTTAATGGGGATTGCATTAAAATTATATATTGCTTTGGGTAATATGGACATTTTAATGATGTTGATTCTTCCCATCCATGAGCATGGTATGTTTTTACATTTGTTAACATCTTTATTTCTTTTCTTAGAGTTTCATAGTTCTCTTTATAGAGATGTTTCACGTCCTTTGTTAGGTAAACTCCCAAATATTTCATCTTCTTTGGCACTACTGTGAAAGGAATAGAGCCCTTGACTGGTTTTTCAGCTTGACTATTTTTGGTATATATAAAGGCTACCGATTTATGAGTGTTGATTTTGTAACCTGAGATGCTGCTATATACAATCATATCATCTGTGAAAAATGAAAGTTTAAATCTCCTCTGGCCCTATATGGACACCCTTGATTGCCTTTTCTTTTCTAATTGTGATGGCTAAAACTTCCATTACAGTGTTAAAGAGCAGTGGAGACAATGGGCAACCTTGCCTGGTTCCTGATCTTAGTGGAAATGATTTCAATTTAACTCCATTGAATATGATATTGGCTGTGGGTTTGCTGTAGATGGCCTCTTATCAGTTTAAGAAATGTCTCTTCTATACCCATTTTCTTCAGTGTTCTGATCATGAAAGGATGCTGGATATTATCCAAAGCTTTTTCTGCATCAATTGAGAGAATCATATGCTCTTTGTTTTTTAATTTGTTTATGTGATGAAGTATATTTATAGATTTACATGTATTCAATCAGCCTTGAGACCGTGGGATAAAACCCACTTGGGTCATGGTATATAATTTGTTTGATGTGTTGCTGGATTCTGTTTGCTAGGATTTTGTTGAATATTTTTGCATCAATATTCATTAGTGATACTGGTCTATAATTTTCTTCTTGGGTCTTTACGTGGTTGGAGGATCAAGGTGATGTTTGCTACATAGAATGTGTTGGATAATATTCCTTCTTTTTCTATATTTTGGAAGAGGTTTCTAGTTCCTTTTTAAAGGTTTGGTAGAATTCTGACATGAAGCGATCTGGTCCCGGGCTTTTCTTTTTAGGGAGATTTTGTATAGTTGATGCTATTTCAGAGCTTGATATAGGCCTGTTCAACATTTCCACTTCATTCTGGCTAAATCTAGGAAGGTGCCATGCTTCCAAGTATTGGTCTATTTCCTTCAGATGTTTGTATTTTTGAGAGTAGAGTTTCTTGTAATATTCATTGAGGATTTTTTGAATTTCTGAGGAGTCTTGTTCGTCTTTGCCATTTCTGATTGATGAAATTAGAGATTTTACTCTTTTTTTCCTGGTTAGGTTAGCCAAAGGGTTATCTATTTTATTGATCTTTTCAGAAAACCAACTTTTTGATTTATTGATCTGTTGTATAATTCAGGATACCCTCTATAGTCTCTAAAGATGAGATGAATGACTCAAGTGTTAGCACAATACAAAAATATTGGTGTGAATCTTCTTTATAGTTTATAAAATTAGAGAGTTATTGATTTAATAATAAAACTGTAAAGATTTGTTCCTCAAATTATTAAATTTATCCTTTGAAGCATTATACACTACTGTCTCTTAAGTGCTGTATTAATATTACATCCTAATTCATTTTCTAAATATTCCCATCCAAAAACAGTTATATATCATCAGTAATACATGTTTATGTTGTGTACTGGTACATCGAATATATTATTTTCACACTCCAATTCACTTTTTTTTTTTTTTGAGACAGAGTCTCACTGTGTCACTCTGGGTAGAGTGCTGTGGTGTCCCAGCTCACAGCAATCTCAGATTCTTGGGCTTAAGCAATTCTCTTGCCTCAGCCTCCCAAGTAGCTAGGACTATAGGTGTCCACCACAATATGTGGTTATTTTTTGGTTGTAGTTGGCATTGTTGTTTGGCAGACTCGGGCTGGATTCGAACCTGCCAGCTCCGGTATATGTGGCTGGCCCCTTAGCTGGTGAGCTACAGGCTCCAAGCCAGCAATGGACTTTTATTTTTATTTTTTATTTATTTATTTATTTTTATCGTTGGGGATTCATTGAAGGTACAAGAAACTAGGTTACACTGATTGCATTTGCTGGGTAAAGTCCCTCTTACAATTGTGTCTTGCTCCCACAGGTGTGTCACACACTGGGACCCCACCCCTCTCTCTCTTTCCCTCTCTTTGCTCTTCCTTACGCCCATCCTTCCCCCTCCTTCTTTCTCTCTCTGCTCTCCCCTTTCCCCCACCCCCTCATTGCGTATTAGGTCATTAATTGTCCTCATATCAAAATTGAATACATAGGATTCATCCTTCATTCTTGTGATGCTTTACTAAGGATATGGACCTTTATTTTTAAAGTGAAATCAAGTCAAATTAATATCATATAGTTGTATTTACATTTCTGTGATCCTGTTAGTGAATTATTTTCAGAGTTAATTGTCATTCTGAGTGAAGTTCATTTCCTTATAGAATACAACTGCCTGACTACTGCATTAATGAGAATGGTGCAGATATAGTCTACTTTAATATGAATAAAGCCTCTGACAAAGTTATCATGGTACTCTTTTGATTGAGGTAGTGGTAGTACTTTTATTAAGTTAGTTTCATTAAAGAATTCTTTTCAAAAGATGTTGTTTAATGCCTAGGCAATAGCCTGGAAGGAATTTAAACATAGGAGTTCTTTTTCAAAATACTGTAGCTTGTTAATGTAGAAAAGTATGTAAATGAAATAGTCATGGATTTCATTACTCAGAGATGGCCTTTCTAAAAAGCATACATATACCCCCAAACCATGCATGTGTTAAGAAATAAAAAGAAAGAGAGTAAAATGGAATAAAATGTATATACAGAAAAAGAATAATATAGAGAGCGAGGTGTGAAATGAAAAGGTATCTCCTCCTCGCTTCTGATACTCTGTGCCTCTCCCCAAAGACTTGTTAACTATATCCTATACATTCTTCCCAAATAAGTTTTTTCATAGACCAGAATACAGTTATGTCATGTAAACCCCCCACATATGCAATAATATATACACTCCTTTGCTTTTTTTCTATATGTATTCCTTTGCTTTTTTTTTTTTTCCACTCAATAACATATCTTGGAGATTTTCTTCTGTAGACATGTATCTATCTTATTTTTTTACAGCTGCATAGTATTTTATTGAATAGATACTCTTTAATTTGTTTAACCAGTCCTTTATTAATGACATTTATATTTATTTAGGACTAGTTTCCAATACAAACTTCTAAGTGTAGAGTTTCACATAATAAAATTTTATTACATCAGTCATATGCCAGTTGGATGGCCCATTTCCATCTTGTAATCTTGTAGCTCTGCTGTCTGGCCTCTAAGGTCATCACTGCCAAAGATGACCTAGGAAAGGCTCACTAGTTCTTTACGACCTTGCCCCCCCTCCTTTATTTTTTTGGCCAGAAGAAATGTCTGTTTGAGGCTAGGAAGCATTGAGGAACACCTTAGGTATTTGGGGAGCACCAGTGGTCTCTGCCACTGTAACAAAAGTAAACTCCTGCATCAAGTTTCAGAAAGAAGGGGCAGTCATTGCCCAGTAGTTCTTTTGAGAAATAAACTGTGTGTGTGCTGGCAATGTACTTATTTTCTGAATAAGCCAGTGTGTTGGCTGTATTACTAGAAGGGGATTGAAGATATTTTGGGAGATAACCGTATTTGTGTTGATTCTGGGTGACATATTTTAAGAAAGATAGATATTGGCTGTGTCTAGGGAAACATAGTCAGAATATATAAGGATCTATAATTTTTATCTAGAAAACTAGCTCCCTACTTTCAAAAACATTATGGTATCCTGAAATATTTTTCAAAGACTTGGAAAAGAGGTTAATGGTTTGTAGTGTTGTTCCCAAGGAGAGAACCAGAACCAGTTGATGGAGTTTTAGAAAGATTTTTTTCTCACAATGGAGAATATTTAATCTCTGTTAAATATTAATTTGAGATCTTTATAAATCAAGCATAAACTGGATGACATCTATGAAGAATATTATAAGGAAGATTTCCTACTTAATATGAGAGATTGGTCTAGATTAGTGATTTTCAACTGGTATGCTGTGAGAGGATCTTAGGTGTGCCGTGAAAATTTTTATAGATCACTAATTACTTTTGAAAGAAGTTCAAAGCACAGTAAGTATATCCTTGTTTTTATTCTTTTTGATCAACATAATTTTAAGTGTGCCATGGAAGTTTAACTCTAGGTTCAAGTGTGCCGTGAGATAAAAAAGTTGAAGAACACGGATCTAGATAATCCTTATGGCCCCTTTTCAAATCTGGCTTTTTTTAATGATGAATATGTTAAATGAATATTCCTTTTCTTTTAAAATAGGATACTGATGAAATTCAAGTTAACTATCCTGGAATGTTTGAATTGATGGAAGATTTACAAGGTAAGACACTTTAGAGAATTTTTAGACTCCATTTGATAGATATATTTTAAGAGCCAATTCTATGGAAGATACTGGTTTCAGCTCTAGAGATCCATTTGGTGGGGAAAAAACAGACTGTCTTCATGGAGTTCATGATATAAAATGGAGGAAGCAGACACCAAGCAGTTGTCACAGAGATAAGTTAAACCAGAATTGTGGCCAGTGCTATGAAGTAGGGGTACATAAAAGAGTGGCAGGACTTTGTTACAGAGTGTATTTGAAGATGGTAGAACACATTGGTGACTTCTGCCAGCCACAGTTGGCTGGAGTATAGGAATAAGAAGGATAACATGGGTGTGTCAATGAGGGTAAGAGATCACACAGCAGGACTTTATAGGCCTTGTCTTAAAATTTCCCTTGAGGCATTTTAATGAGGGGTGAGGAAAGAGGTCGCAATATCAGATTTATATTTTGAAAAGAATGGACTGGCAGATAAATTAGGAGATTTCTTTTCAGTAAAGCTTATTGAGAGATGATGGTGTATGGACTAGGGTGGTGGCAGTGGAGATGAAGAGAAGTGAATGCATTCCAAAAATATTTAGGAGGTAAATTTGACAATTCTTACTGGGGATTTAGATGTTGACAGATGAAGGGGCAAGTCATTGCAAATGTAACTGCCACATTTCTAGTTCACATAGCCAGGTATATGAAGGTGCCCTTCATTAACAGAGGAGACAGTAGAAGATGACCAAGTTTGGGCAGGGACTGTTCTTAAGTTTACATTTGAATACATTGGGTTTGAAGTGCTTTGGAAATACCTAAGAGGACATGCCAAATAAAGTTGGGAAAGAGGAGGTAACTTAGAGGAGGCTACTGGCCTGGTGAAAAAATTGTGTGTCATTTGAGAATAGGTAGTGTTTGAAGCAGTTTACCTACAATGAGAGCATGGAGGAGAGAGAAAGTAGGTTGGCACTGAGCCTTTAGGAACCTGTCATATAGTGACTAGTTAGAAAGATGAGCCTGCAAAGAGACTTATAAGGAATAGCCAGCAAGGTGTCTAGAAGAAATACCAGAAAAGTGCAGAATTGCCTGAACCAAAGGAAAGAATATTTCAACACAAAAGCAACATCAAAATCCAAGTGCATCTGAGCAGAATGTGCCATTAAATTTAGGAATGAGAAGGTTATTTGTGGCCTTGGTAGATTTCTTTTGTTGGAGTGAGGGCGGTAGAACTGCTGGGAGTAGGTTGAGGAGTAAGTGGAAGGAACTGGAGACACCAAATACATGCTGTTCTCTTAGGAAGTTTGGCTATAAGGTGGGGCACAGTGGCTTACGCCTGTAATCCTAGCACTCTGGGAGGCTGAGGCGGTGGAGTGCTTGAGCTCCAGGGTTGGAGACCAGTCTAAGCAAGAGCGGTACCCCATCTTTACTTAAAATAGAAAAACTAGCTGGGTATTGTTGCGGTGCTTATAGTCCTACTGACTTAGGAAGCTGAGGCAAGAGGATCATTTGAGCCCAAGAGTTTGAGGTTGCTGTGAACTGTGACCCCATGGCACTCTACCTAAGGAGACAAAGTGAGACTCTGCCTCAAAAAAAAAAGAGGAAGTTTTGCTATAAAGAAGAGGTGAGAGATAGAAAGGTTACGGGTGTCAGAGGAGAGGAATAAAAGATGGAATAAGGCTTTATATTTTGTCTTAAGAGTTGATTTTATTTAACTACCAACTGGGAGAATCCAAGTGCTTCCTTAGAAGAGGTGATTTAAGAAGAGAGACAGGAGATAATTCAGGTAGCTAAGAAGGTAGTGGTCAGTAAAGGCATTGACCTTGGGTAAGAGAAGAGGCAGATTCATGGGAGAAAGGAAGGAGTACTGGTAATGGAATAGGTGTTTCTGTTTGATAGCAGGAAGTTCCCATCTCAAAGTTCTGTTTTCTTTGTTTCCTTTGAAACAGGAAGCAATTTCATATGCTGAGAATGGGAGGGTCAGAAGTTTGAAAACTGAGTGGAGGGAATTTGAAGTAGTCATTGTAGAGAATGGAAAAGTGAAATGATGAGGGAAAAGCTATAGAATTTGAATGGTGCATTTGAAGTTGGGCAGACACATCAAGAATAATTCACAGCTCAGAACCAGGCACAAAAAAGCAGATAGTCGTGTTAGTTTGGATTAAGGTTTGCTGATTGAAAGTGACAAAAAGACAAAGGTAAAAGATAGCTCTAAGAGGGTTATTGAAATATAGGGTGAAGAATCTGTGCTGGAAGAAAATGGAAGCAGCAAAAATAGGGAGCTGATGAATTGTGAGGAAGAGCAGCTGTGCACAGGTGATCCCAAGTGGTGAGAGAACAGTTGCGGTTACAGTACCAGAACACACTGGAAGGTCAGGAGGAGATGAGCAGAAAATGGGATATCTGAAGATTTTGGAAGTAAAGCAGCTGGTTACAAGCTCTGGGACAATGTCCCAGGTACAGAGGCAGAGGGGAGTGATTAGAAAAGTTCACTAGTGACAAGTTTAAATTAACTTGACAGTTACTAACATTGAAGTCATCTAGTGGAACTGGGAGTATAGAGTGAAACTGAGCCAGGTGCCAAACTGCACAGTAAATAAGGGTATGACCAGCAGAAGTTACAGTGAAGTGATCTGACCCTCAGCAGGGCAAGGCTGTTTAATGGGCTGGGGAAGTAGCCACCTGGATGAGGCTTTGAGAATAAGTAAGAAGGACACAGACCCAACTCTGAAAGAGGTGAAATATACAAAAATACGATTCTCTTATTTGAAATTGACACTAGAGAGTTGATTTTTCTCAAAAGAGAGCTTCAGCCTGCTCCTTTGTGAGAATTTGTGAGTTTGTTCATTAATACAAATGTCATAGTTTGGTGAATGCAGAAATCTGTAGGGGTTCTTTTAAAGGTATATTCTGGGAATCCAGAACTACACTTATACCCAGGGGAGTCTGAAAAATTGTAAGATGATTTAAAGTAAGCGGATTATAAAAATAAATGGTCTTTATTTATAGATTTATGGGTTTTTTGTGAGCATTGCTGCACTTCCTACCCTATATTACATGAAAGAAAGATTAGGCCCAAAGAGAAGATTTCCCTAATAGTGGTGGAACTAGGTGCCCAACTTATGCCTTCTTGGCTCCTGTGCTCATGCCCCCTTAATTGACCTTGTTGCTCCCTGGAGTTGCCCATTCGTAACAAGGTCCATCTTGCTCATTGATCAGCCTCCCCTGAGTATGGAGCTTCTGTAAACTTTACAAGCAGAAGATGTATAGCTGAAAACATATCATTATAGTCACTATTCATTAATTATGATGTACTAGAAGACTGGCGATATGCATGCCCAAGATGACAAAGGACCAATAATAAGTCACACAATCCCCCCTTCCTGAGTACCTTTATCCAAAGGCCTGCAAGATAGGGATAGGCTGGTGGTTTCTCATTCAGGCTCTAATAATAAAAATATCTTTTAAATATGGCATTTATTTTGTTCTGCTGTATAATAAATGCTGTACTCATAATTCATTTCAAGAAAGAAAAGAGGAAGAGACTAGAAATTAGACCTATCAGTTGGAAAAGTTTACTTCTCACTCATTTCAATAAATATGTACAGCACTTAAACTGTCCAAGTCTCTGAGATTTTCTAATATCTTGATTTCACAGATTAGGAAATTGAGGCATTAAAAGTTAATTATCTTATCTGTTGACACCTAAATCTGGAGTTCAGATTTGAATTCAGACTCCTATGCTGCATATTTAATATGTATGTGGCTTTTTAAAATGATGCCAGCATATATGTTCAGTAGAGTGCACTAATCTTAAACGTTCAGATGCTTGTATTTTTTTTTTTTTTTGAGACAGAGTCTAACTCAGTAGCCTTGGGGTTGAGTGCTGTGTCATTACAGCTCACAGTAACTCAAACTCTTGGACTCAAAAGATCCTCTTGCCTCGGCTTCCTGAGTAGCTTGGACTACATGCCCAGCTATTTTAGAAACCAGGTCTCACGCTTACTCAGGCTGGTTTCCAACTCCTGAGCTCAAACAATCCTCCTGCCTTGGGCTCTCAGAGTACTGGGATTAAAGGCACGAGCCACCACACCCTGTCCAGATACTTGTATTTTTAACTATCATCCTGATCAAATTATAGAACATTTCTAGCCCCCTAACAAGTTGCTTTGTGTCCCGTCCCAATTAATAACCATTCTTCCCTTTTTAAATTAGTCATATTTTTTTGTTAGTCATATATTTTGGGGAACTATTACCTAATTTTTACCTTTGAGACCGTGTGCCAGTGCTTCTTTTATTTTCACTGTAAAGTCATTTACAGAAATGCATCTTAGTCTTCGATAACCTCCTATCCTAAGGAGAATTAAGAGAAATTATTTACAGATAGTATGTCAAAGTGATATTTAACAAAATAGATATAAACATTAACTCATTGATTTTATTTCATCCACTTGCCATTTACTGAGTATCTACCATGTGCCATTTGAGCCATTGAGCCATTTGTTCCTGGTCTCAGGGAGTTTTTCTTCTGGTAGAGAGGAAGAGACACACAAAGGCAGACATTTGCAATCAACAATAACATGAGATTATTATTTAATTTTTAAAATACATGGAGAAACACAAGAGAAAAAGTCTTTGAATCTGCTTAGGGCATCAGGGATGTTTTTGCAGAAAAGGTAGCACCTAAGCTAAAATGAGTTTGTCAGGTAGTGAAAAAGGATAGATTCTGGTTGAGGGGTTGGGTGGCAGGTATTGCATTCCACACAGAGGAAATGGCCTGTGTAAAATCCTGGAGGTGTAAGAGGATATGCACATTCTCACTCTTCTGGTGAAGGAACTATACAATAATTCAGTAATGCAATGAGTAGGAGGTCTGACAGTTAAATTCACAAACTTGCTACTGTGTGTTTATGTTGGCAGCACTGTACAAACAATTCTGTAAGGTTTTAAAACCTTGGTGTATTAGTGTCTGCCAGCTGTGTTCATGTCTGTGTGTGGTGCTGTCTTGCTGAGTGGCATTCATTATTGTTCCATGTTTTTGTAACTGTTGCAAGAATGTTGGAGCTTGAATCAGAGGAAGGAACAGAATATTATGAAATTTCTTGTTAAACTTGGCAAGAATAGAAGTGAAATCAGGGACATGTTAGTCCAAGTTTATGAGGATAATGCCATGAGGAAAACAGCAGTGTACAAATGAATTAAACATTTTTCTGAGGAGAGGGAAAGCAGAGGTCAGGATGGCTAGCAACAAGCAGACCTGATGAAAACATTGCAAAAGGCCAGGACTGCTGGCTCATGCCAATAATCCTAGCACTCTGGGAGGGCTAAGGCAGATAGATAGCTTGAGCTCAGGAGTTGGAGACCAGCCTGAGCAAGAGCAAGACCCCATCTCTACCAAAAACAGAAAAACTGGCCTTGTGGTGGGCATCTGCAGTTCCAGCTACTCAGGAGTCTGAGACAACAGTGCTTTACTAGGGTAACAGGGTGAGACTCTGAGGATCTCTATACTAGAGATATAAACATTGCTAGAGAAACAGGAATATCTTAACTGAAAATCTTGGTGTGAGAAAAGTTCATCTTACATCACAACAATGTACTAGCTCACACAGCATTGTCTGTGAGGGAGTTTTTAGCCAGTAAACAAATAACTGTATTGGAACACCCTCCCTACTCACCTGATCTACCCCCAGTGACTTTTTTCTACCCAAAGGTAAAGGAAATATAGGAAGGATGACATTCAGGACATCAAGGGTAATACAATGATAGCCTTGATGGCCATTCTAGAAAAATTATTTCAAAATTGCTTTCAAGGCTAGACTAGGCTCTGGCATCAGTGCATAGCTTCCCAAGGGGAGTACTTCAAAGTTGACTGTAGTGATTATTCAGCAGTGAGGTGTATAGCACTTTTTCTAGGATGAGATTGCAGACTTAATTGTCAGCCCTTATATTACGGATGGGGAAGTGATAGAGGATCAGAGGCTTCTGGATTTTTCTCAGCTGAACTTTGTAGTGTTGTGAAAGAATTTTGCATAGAGGAGAAACAATCAGGTTAGCGTATTAGAAAGCTCATCTTCTACCTTGCACCATTGTTTATGAGACATATTTTATGAGGAAGGTAAATGACTAGCATGGCTTATCTGTCTTGTTCTATATGAGGAAATTGAAGCACAGAAAGAAGTAACTTGTCTAAGATGATGTAGTTAGTAAATAGTAGAACCAGGATTTAAACTTAGTCAAGTAACCTTATTTGTATCCTGAAATCTCAACCACTCTACCATGGAAAAAGTCTAAGGCAGGTGGATAGGAAGAAGTGTAGTCATGGGACGATTAAGGAGGGGGAGAACTTGGGAGACTTCTAGGTGTGCTGCTATGCTGACTGGAAGGTAGTGTTACTTCCAGATTTGTTTTTGCTATTTTACATTTATACTATAATTTTTCTTGATGGCTGTGGTGTGTCTCATTTAAGCTGCTATTATTAATTCACAGAAAAAGTCCAGAATGTTGACCTAATTTTACAAAACAAGTTGCTTATCAGCTGATGATTACATGAGAAATTTTCAAGGCTTTCACAGTGATTTTAAGGTAAGTTCAGTTATTCTTTTTAGCCAATACTCAGTATTGTTTCTAGTAAGCTGTAATAAAATAGGATTTTTTTTTTTGTAAGCAGTTGAACTTAACCTTAAAAACACTGTGAGAGTCTTAAACAGTTACCTACTGGATTTTTCTGTTATCCCCAAACTCAGAACAAGTCAGAAATCCCAAAGTCCCAGTATCATCATTCCATTTTGAAGATGGTAAATAGAGTTTAATAGAAGTTGAATGACTTTGTCCCAGGTAATGTAAGAGTTAAAACCAAGATTATGATCTGAGTCCAGACTCTTTCTACCACCTCACACTGTGTCCACAGGGTGGAGGAAAATCTAGTATGGTGCCTCTCTCTGCGGGCAGGGCAGACTGCCGCAGTTAGGGCCTGTGCTGTATCAGTAGTGCTCTTAAATTTCTGTGTGGCTGACCTGGCTCAGCCCTTCAGAGGGAGCATTATGCCCACTAATATTAATTAACATATTTCAGTACCCTTTGTTTAGAAGGCATTTTAAAATTTCTAGTGCATCATGTGTTTACATTTAAAATAATCTGTTTTCCACTGGTGGAGGCTAACTCTATAATGTGTAAGGAAGCCATGGCAGTAGGAAGTTGAGCAGAAATGGAAGCACCACACTCATCATCAGCAACAGACTTGTCCAGTTTGAGTCCCAATCGCTTCTCGGCCTTTTGGCTAAGATCAAGTGCAGTTTGAGTCCCAAGGATATAGTTGATACTCACTATGTAGGACAGTTAGATTATACAGTGGGTCTAAAACACAGAGACCATCTATCTAGTCTGGCTGCTTTGAAGACCCAGAGTGTTTGGTCTAAGGTTGTCTAGCTGCTTTATGATAGAAGAATGTGAGCTACTTTTTTCTTGATGATTAATCTCATTTGAGTCTATTGTTAGCCTCAAATGGGGCTACTAATACTCACAGGATAGTGGGTGGCATCCGTAGCTCAGTGGGTAGGGCACTGGTCACATATACCACAGCTGGTGGGTTCGAACCCCGCCTGGGGCCAGCTTAAACAACGACACCTGCAACAAACAAACAAACAAATAGCCGGGCATTGTGGCAGGCACCTGTTGTCCTAGCTACTTGAGAGGCTGAGGCAAGTGAATCGCTTAAGCCCAAGAGTTTGAGGTTGCTGTGAGCTGTGACACCACAGCACTCTACTGAGGGTGACATAGTGAGACTCTCTCAAAAAAAAAAAAAAAAACAGGATAGGGGACATTGATTTTAGTGTCAGAGATTCATTATTTTAGGGAATAATAGGAACCTTTTGGGATGGAAGAGAAGAAAAAGGTTTTGTTATTGCTGCTAATTTGTTGATTGTTTTTAATAAGGCCATTGAAAATGCAGTGGATTATTATTTTTAAACTGTTGAAGAATACTAATATTGAAAAGTTTATTTGTTTTTTGATTTGTGAAAGTAGAAAAACAAAATGAAGAAACTGACTCCAATATAGAGAATACATATAATTTTTACTTTTGAAATTCTTTTAATTTTGTTTCAAAGTATTTTTGTTTAAGTGTTTGCGTAAAGAAAAATTAACTAAATATACAACATTAATTTTTAATGACCGGTAGAATAATATTTATCCTAGCTTTTAACCAACTTGAAAGAAAGAAGTCTAAAAATAAATTTTAAAACATTAAAAGAAGTGCTTATGAAAACAATGTACATAACTCTTAATTTGGAATTAGTAAAATATTCTAAAATCTGAGAAAACATATTAGCTTCAGTACTATTGAATGAGTCTCCCAGTCCTCTTTCAAGTTTCGCAGTTATACTTACATTTATGGCTTATGGAGTGAGCCATTTTGGCATTAGCCTGTCCTCTTTCAAGGAGTAGCTAACACCTCACTTGGGGGAGCTAATTGTGACTATCAGAGAATGGGCACAGGGGTGCTGTTGGATGAGATGGGGTGAAGTCTGTGATACTCAGCTGTTCAGCGTTTTGCTGTATTATCTTGAACTGCCTGTAGTGTATTTTTAGGTATGGGTGAAAGTAACTGCTCTTGGAATAGAAAAGCCCTTCTGCACCGAGACACAATGCTGGCGGCTGCAGCAGTGTACAGAGGTAAGGGAGCTGACAGACTCTGCTTTGCACTCGAGCCTCACGGAGGAACCTGTGCTGTGTCATGATGAGTCCCTTAATGGTCCTCCTAATAAGAATCTTTTCTCATCACGGCTTCATCAGACTTTCTGTCCTTCTTCTTAAAACTTAGATTCTGTAGCTCTTTTTCTAGAGAGCTCTTTATTTCCTTACTGTCAGCTTCTTGGTGTTGAGAATTTCTCATGTAAGGGGTTGTCACAGTCTTACAAGTATCCTAGTACCCATTTCTCTTTGAAGAATGTGAATCTTACCGAACAGATTTTTTTTTCCTACTTAAATTTTTTCAGACTTTATTATTTGTCTTTACAGAAATGTACAGAAATGAAGATGGTTCAATACCTGCCACATATCAGATTTATTATATGATAGGATGGAAATACCATGAGTCACAGGTAACATTAATATAGATCACTTTCTTAGTGGGTCTGTGTTTCCTTTTTTTATTAAATTGTTTATTAACTTAGGGTGGGTTTTTATTTTCTCATGTTTTAAGTTTTTAAAGATAGGCTGAACTGCATTGACACAATCATAGTTCACTGCAACCTGGAACTCTGCTTAAATAATCCTCCCACTTTTGTTTCCCAAGTACCTGGAAATACCTGCATCACCACGTCCAGCCAACTGTTTAAATTTTTTGTAGAAACGGAATTTTGCTGTATTGCCCAGGCTGGTCTCCCTTTGCTTCCACAGTCCTCCCAACTTGTTCGCCCAAAGTGCTAGGATTACAGGCATGTGCCACCGTGCCTGTTTTTTTGTTTTTCATGTAAGATAGCATTAAGGGGTTTAATCAGGGCTATGTATAGCTGCCTCTTTCTAATATCTTTACTCTTTATTTTCAGGCAAGACCAGCTGAAAGAGGTTCTGCAACTATGTCCTTTGGCGAACTAGGAAAAATAAACACTCTCATTTCGGAGGGAAAAAAATCACAATAAATATTTTATTCAGTATTAATGTCTAGAATTTTCATCAGAAATGCACAGCTTTCCCATCTAAAATTATAGAGTGCCTTTTGAAGCAAGAGGCACTCTATAAGCTATTCACTAATGGACTTTTCAAATCATTGGAATAACCTAATAGCACATCTATGTTTAGTAACCATTTCAGTTCTCATTGTTTCTGTTTTCATAAGGATACTTTTAGCTGGTGATTTGGGTATCTTATTTTCCGATTCAACCTAAAAGCAAAGAAAACATTTCTTCTCAAAATTTACAGATACGCTCACATATATATATGTGTATAAACATATATGAATGTTTATATATATATATATAAACATCTGACTTGATGGGAACACGTTACTCATGCTGATATTTTGTACCTTTTTTGCTTTCTGGTCTTCTGTTCTTTCTGTGAGAGGACCATAGCCATGGAGATGAAGGAAAGAACAAGTTGGTAGATTCTTGGCTCACTTAGAATGAAAACACAGACTTTTTGTAATTAGTACTATAAGGTACTTAAGCCAGAATTTTATTTGTCAGACTGTCTTTGTATTGAAGAGGAGCAGGTGATTCTGTACTTTCTCCAGCGCTATTGTATAGTTTTGGACTTTAGAAGAGCATGTATCTTTATTGAATCCCTTTTTACCTCTTTTAAAAAAACATGTGAATTCTAATCTCATTTCTTTTTCACTTCCATGGGCTGAGTGAGACCACCATGGTTTTTATGCCCCACTATATGCCTTAGGGAAGAAGAAAACATTTTAAAGAATTATAGAGGCAAAATTACATATAAAAGTTTCTGCATAGTGATCAAATGTACAATTTACTTTTGGGCTTTCTTTTGTAATTTCAGACCTTAAGCCCTACAATCCTAATCCAAATTCACTGATCACTTGATTTGGAAACAAGCTGAAATAGCTTAGATAGGTGGGAAGGACACAGATAGTGATAAGAAGGAAGTGGAACGGAAGCTGAAAACCAAACAGGAGTCAGTGCTCAGATTGTTTTTTCCAGTCCACAATGAGCTATTTGCTCTCCTTTCTTGTAACCAGGGCAAGACCCCAGCCTCTAGTAATTTATGGAGGTACTCATTCTTCTCTCCTCTACCTTCCTTCCTTCATCCTGTAATTTAAACTCCAGGCTCTTCAAGGGAACGGGCTTTGTCTTACTCCCTCATAAATACTCACATTCTGAATTGAATTAAAAAAAATATGCCCTTATAAGAGACTAAGTCAAAAGTTAAAAACCAAGGTATTGCAAGAGAATAAAATTACTTTTCTTGCTCTTTTCAGTTGGGAAAATTTTTGACATTTGAAATCAGGATAGTCTTGGTAGCTTTTTTGTTTTATTTTTAACACAAAGTAAAAGAGAAAACCTGTGGTAGAATTTCGGGAATTTTTTTTAGCTTAATTTTCAGAATTTGAAAAGAGAACAGATAACAAAAATCTCTATGTATTAAAGTGCAAACTGATGATAAATAGATAAAGTCCAGGGTTTCTGTGTTCCCCCAAAAGACACGTGTATGGGGCAGCGCCTGTGGCTCAAAGGAGTAGGGTGCTGACCCCATATGCCGGAGGTGGTTCAAACCCAGCCCTGGCCAAAAACTGCAAAAAAAAAAAAAAAAACACATGTATATGTGTAGTAATATTTGTTTCTTTT